TGTTACGCATTACTTTTGAGCTTCTGCAAGAACCAATGAGGTTCATTCTCGTGTTACGCTGCACGTTTGAGCTTCAGCAAGAGCCAATGAGATTCATTCTCGTGTTACGCAGCACGTTTGAGCTTCAGCAAGAACCAATGAGGTTCATTCTCATGTTACGCATTACTTTTGAGCTTCTGCAAGAACCAATGAGGTTCATTCTCGTGTTACGCAGCACGTTTGAGCTTCAGCAAGAGCCAATGAGATTCATTCTCGTGTTACGCAGCACGTTTGAGCTTCAGCAAGAGCCAATGAGATTCATTCTCGTGTTACGCAGCACGTTTGAGCTTCAGCAAGAGCCAATGAGGTTCATTCTCATGTTACGCATTACTTTTGAGCTTCTGCAAGAACCAATGAGGTTCATTCTCGTGTTACGCAGCACGTTTGAGCTTCAGCAAGAACCAATGAGATTCATTCTCATGTTACGCATTACTTTTGAGCTTCTGCAAGAACCAATGAGGTTCATTCTCGTGTTACGCAGCACGTTTGAGCTTCAGCAAGAGCCAATGAGATTCATTCTCGTGTTACGCTGCACGTTTGAGCTTCAGCAAGAGCCAATGAGATTCATTCTCGTGTTACGCAGCACGTTTGAGCTTCAGCAAGAACCAATGAGGTTCATTCTCGTGTTACGCAGCACGTTTGAGCTTCTGCAAGAGCCAATGAGGTTCATTCTCGTGTTACGCAGCACGTTTGAGCTTCAGCAAGATCCAATGAGGTTCATTCTCATGTTACGCAGCACGTTTGAGCTTCAGCAAGAGCCAATGAGGTTCATTCTCGTGTTACGCAGCACGTTTGAGCTTCAGTAAGAACCAATGAGGTTCATTCTCGTGTTACGCAGCACGTTTGAGCTTCAGCAAGAGCCAATGAGATTCATTCTCGTGTTACGCAGCATGTTTGAGCTTCAGCAAGAACCAATGAGGTTCATTCTCGTGTTACGTATCACGTTTGAGATTCTGCAAGAGCCAATGAGATTCATTCTCGTGTTACGCAGCACGTTTGAGCTTCAGCAAGAGCCAATGAGGTTCATTCTCGTGTTACGCAGCACGTTTGAGCTTCAGCAAGAACCAATGAGGTTCATTCTCGTGTTACGCAGCACGTTTGAGCTTCAGCAAGAGCCAATGAGGTTCATTCTCATGTTACGCAGCACGTTTGAGCTTCAGCAAGAGCCAATGAGGTTCATTCTCATGTTACGCAGCACGTTTGAGCTTCAGCAAGAGCCAATGAGGTTCATTCTCGTGTTACGCAGCACGTTTGAGCTTCTGCAAGAGCCAATGAGGTTCATTCTCGTGTTACGCATCACGTTTGAGCTTCTGCAAGAACCAATGAGGTTCATTCTCGTGTTACGCAGCACGTTTGAGCTTCAGCAAGAGCCAATGAGGTTCATTCTCGTGTTACGCAGCACGTTTGAGCTTCTGCAAGAGCCAATGAGGTTCATTCTTGTGTTACGCAGCACGTTTGAGCTTCTGCAAGAGCCAATGAGGTTCATTCTCATGTTACGCAGCACGTTTGAGCTTCAGCAAGAACCAATGAGGTTCATTCTCATGTTACGCAGCACGTTTGAGCTTCTGCAAGAACCAATGAGGTTCATTCTCGTGTTACGCAGCACGTTTGAGCTTCTGCAAGAGCCAATGATGTTCATTCTCATGTTACGCAGCACGTTTGAGCTTCTGCAAGAACCAATGAGGTTCATTCTCATGTTACGCAGCACGTTTGAGCTTCTGCAAGAGCCAATGAGGTTCATTCTCATGTTACGCAGCACGTTTGAGCTTCTCAAGAGCCAATGAGGTTCATTCTCGTGTTACGCAGCACGTTTGAGCTTCAGCAAGAGCCAATGAGGTTCATTCTCATGTTACGCAGCACGTTTGAGCTTCTGCAAGAGCCAATGAGGTTCATTCTCATGTTATGCAGCACGTTTGAGCTTCTGCAAGAGCCAATGAGGTTCATTCTCATGTTACGCAGCACGTTTGAGCTTCTGCAAGAACCAATGAGGTTCATTCTCATGTTACGCAGCACGTTTGAGCTTCAGCAAGAGCCAATGAGGTTCATTCTCATGTTACGCAGCACGTTTGAGCTTCTGCAAGAACCAATGAGGTTCATTCTCGTGTTACGCAGCACGTTTGAGCTTCAGCAAGAGCCAATGAGGTTCATTCTCATGTTACGCAGCACGTTTGAGCTTCTGCAAGAACCAATGAGGTTCATTCTCGTGTTACGCAGCACGTTTGAGCTTCAGCAAGAGCCAATGAGGTTCATTCTCATGTTACGCAGCAAGTTTGAGCTTCAGCAAGAACCAATGAGGTTCATTCTCGTGTTACGCAGCACGTTTGAGCTTCTGCAAGAGCCAATGAGGTTCATTCTCATGTTACGCAGCACGTTTGAGCTTCAGCAAGAACCAATGAGGTTCATTCTCATGTTACGCAGCACGTTTGAGCTTCTGCAAGAGCCAATGAGGTTCATTCTCATGTTACGCAGCACGTTTGAGCTTCAGCAAGAGCCAATGAGATTCATTCTCGTGTTACGCAGCAAGCTTGAGCTTCAGCAAGAGCCAATGAGATTCATTCTCATGTTACGCAGCACGTTTGAGCTTCAGCAAGAGCCAATGAGATTCATTCTCATGTTACGCAGCACGTTTGAGCTTCTGCAAGAGCCAATGAGGTTCATTCTCGTGTTACGCAGCACGTTTGAGCTTCTGCAAGAGCCAATGAGGTTCATTCTCATGTTACGCAGCACGTTTGAGCTTCAGCAAGAGCCAATGAGATTCATTCTCGTGTTACGCAGCAAGCTTGAGCTTCAGCAAGAGCCAATGAGATTCATTCTCATGTTACGCAGCACGTTTGAGCTTCAGCAAGAACCAATGAGGTTTATTCTCATGTTACGCAGCACGTTTGAGCTTCAGCAAGAGCCAATGAGGTTCATTCTCATGTTACGCAGCACGTTTGAGCTTCTGCAAGAACCAATGAGGTTCATTCTCGTGTTACGCAGCACGTTTGAGCTTCAGCAAGAACCAATGAGGTTCATTCTCGTGTTACGCAGCACGTTTGAGCTTCAGCAAGAGCCAATGAGGTTCATTCTCGTGTTACGCAGCACGTTTGAGCTTCAGCAAGAACCAATGAGGTTCATTCTCGTGTTACGCAGCACGTTTGAGCTTCAGCAAGAGCCAATGAGGTTCATTCTCATGTTACGCAGCACGTTTGAGCTTCAGCAAGAACCAATGAGGTTCATTCTCGTGTTACGCAGCACGTTTGAGCTTCAGCAAGAGCCAATGAGGTTTATTCTCATGTTACGCAGCACGTTTGAGCTTCAGCAAGAACCAATGAGGTTCATTCTCGTGTTACGCAGCACGTTTGAGCTTCAGCAAGAACCAATGAGGTTCATTCTCGTGTTACGCAGCACGTTTGAGCTTCAGCAAGAGCCAATGAAGTTCATTCTCATGTTACGCAGCACGTTTGAGCTTCTGCAAGAGCCAATGAGGTTCATTCTCGTGTTACGCAGCACGTTTGAGCTTCAGCAAGAGCCAATGAAGTTCATTCTCATGTTACTCAGCACGTTTGAGCTTCAGCAAGAGCCAATGAGGTTCATTCTCATGTTACGCAGCACGTTTGAGCTTTAGCAAGAGCCAATGAGGTTCATTCTCATGTTGCGCAGCACGTTTGAGCTTCAGCAAGAGCCAATGAGGTTCATTCTCATGTTACGCAGCACGTTTGAGCTTCAGCAAGAGCCAATGAGGTTCATTCTCATGTTACGCAGCACGTTTGAGCTTCAGCAAGAACCAATGAGGTTCATTCTCATGTTACGCAGCACGTTTGAGCTTCAGCAAGAGCCAATGAGGTTCATTCTCATGTGACGCATCACGTTTGAGCTTCAGCAAGAACCAATGAGGTTCATTCTCATGTTACGCAGCACGTTTGAGCTTCAGCAAGAACCAATGAGGTTCATTCTCGTGTTACGCAGCACGTTTGAGCTTCTGCAAGAACCAATGAGGTTCATTCTCATGTTACGCAGCACGTTTGAGCTTCAGCAAGAGCCAATGAGGTTCATTCTCATGTGACGCATCACGTTTGAGCTTCAGCAAGAACCAATGAGGTTCATTCTCATGTTACGCAGCACGTTTGAGCTTCAGCAAGAACCAATGAGGTTCATTCTCGTGTTACGCATCACGTTTGAGCTTTAGCAAGAACCAATGAGGTTCATTCTCATGTTACGCAGCACGTTTGAGCTTCAGCAAGAGCCAATGAGGTTCATTCTCGTGTTACGCATCACGTTTGAGCTTTAGCAAGAACCAATGAGGTTCATTCTCATGTTACGCAGCACGTTTGAGCTTCAGCAAGAACCAATGAGGTTCATTCTCGTGTTACGCATCACGTTTGAGCTTTAGCAAGAACCAATGAGGTTCATTCTCATGTTACGCAGCACGTTTGAGCTTCAGCAAGAACCAATGAGGTTCATTCTCATGTTACGCATCACGTTTGAGCTTCAGCAAGAGCCAATGAGGTTCATTCTCGTGTGACGCATCACGTTTGAGCTTCAGCAAGAACCAATGAGGTTCATTCTCATGTTACGCAGCACGTTTGAGCTTCAGCAAGAACCAATGAGGTTCATTCTCGTGTTACGCATCACGTTTGAGCTTTAGCAAGAACCAATGAGGTTCATTCTCGTGTTACGCAGCACATTTGAGCTTTAGCAAGAACCAATGAGGTTCATTCTCGTGTTACGAGCTTCAGCAAGAGCCAATGATGTTCATTCTCGTGTTACGCAGCACGTTTGTGCTTCCGCAAAAAACAAATATCTTCATTTGTGTTCCAAAGATGAATGAAAGTCTTACGGATTTGGCACGACATAAGGCTGAGTGATGACAATTTTAAAATTGAGTGAACTAACCCTTAGTGATTAAACGTGCATCAAACATTATTCAAGAATTGTACTCTGTAACAAACCAAAGTCTCACTCTCTCTCTCGTTCTGCAGAAGCTGCATGTGTTCCTGTTCCAGGACGTGTTGGTGATCACACGGGCCATTACCCAGAATGAGCAGCTGTGGTATCAGCTCTACCGGCAGCCGATCCCAGTGAGAGAGCTGGAGTGGGAAGACCTGCAGGACGGAGAGATGCGCCTGGGCGGCTCCATCAGAGGGGCCTTCAGCAACCATGAGCGGAGTGAGTCAGAAATTCATCACATCATCAACATGACAAAAATTGTCAGGTACACTACCAGTCAAAAGTTTCGGATCGGTAAGATTTGTAATGTTTTTAAAAGAAGTGTCTTCTGCTCACCAAGGCTGCATTTATTTGATTAAAAATACAACAAAAAAACTGTAATACTGTTTAATATTATGACTTTAAAATAACTGTTTTCTGTTTTAATATATTTTAAAATGTAATTTTTTCCTGTGATCGAAGCTGAGTTTCCAGCATCATTACTCCGGTCTTCAGTGTCACATGATCCTTCAAAAATCACTCTAATATGAGGATTTGATGCTCAAAAAACATTCATTATTATTATCAATGTTGAAAACAGTTGTGTACAAATTTTTTCAGGAATCTTTGATGAATAGAAAGTTCAAAAGAATAGCATTTATTTTAAATAGAATCTGTAATAACATTATGAATGTCTTTACCGTAGCTTTTGATCAATTTAATTCATACTTGATGAATAAAAGTATTGATTTATTTTATTTATGCCCCCCACCCCCCAAAAAAAGATTCTTATTGACCCCAAACTTTTGAACGGTAGTGTTTAATGTTCCAAAAGCTTTATTTTACACATAAATGAATAAATGACACTCTACTATGTATTCACATAGAAAACTGCTATTTTAAATTGTAATAATTTTTCATAATATTACTATTTTGGGGGTATTTTTAATCAAATAAATGCAGCCTTGCTGAGCAGAAGACACTTCTTTTAAAAACATTAACAATCTTACCGATCAAAAACTGGTGACTTGTAGTGTATAAAAAACTGTGAAAAGCTATACACGCCTGCCATAAACATGTCAAACTCTGTTTGTCCTCGTCCAGCCAAGAACTTTTTCCGGGTGGTGTTTCGCAGTGGAGGACAACTGCAGTCGCACTCGTTCCAGGCCAGCGATGCCTTCAACAAACAGCAGTGGCTCAACTGCATCCGCCAGGCCCAAGCAGGAGCGCGGCGGTGTGTGGACTGCAGCGTGATGGACACCACTGAGGCCAGCCTGGGTCTGAGCACTGAGCGCACACACACGTAAACCCCTCGTCCAGTGCAGAAACTCTCACGATCCTGCTAACCAGCGATCCTCTCAGTATTGTGTTTCGGAAATGCCACCGTTCGCAGGAAGCACTTCTCTGGAATTGACACTACCTTTGTTTCTCAGTGTTCCTCAACTTCTATGTTATACTTGTGCCTTTCTTTCACTGTGCTGTTGTTTTGTTAACTGACCGTTTGTCCACTGAAAGTCACCGAGGATGAGCTTTCTGCCATTCCACATCCTGTGACGCTGGGCCGTTTTACAGTAGAGCGCACTGAATGAATACAGTCACACACACACATGTTCAGATGTTCATTCAGTGATCACCAATAAAAAATGACCAGTCGAATGTTTTCGCAACAAAGGGCGATGGTAGTGTTTGTGCGCGGTGCTCTGGGGAAGGATTGTATATCACACACATTCATCTCGTATGTCTCAGCACTGTACGATTACAGCATTGCGCATCGATGTCAGAGCCACAAACAGCGGTTCTCCTGCCATCCACTTCAGAGGAAGGATGAATGTTATTACTTGTGTTGAAGAATCGACTCCAGTTTGGGGGAAAACCCTGTTTGATTCAGAGAGTAGCTCAGCTCTGAATTGTATGGCAGCGGAGAACGCTTTACTCAGTCATTTCCTGAACCTGTGATTGACATTGTGGCAGAAATATCGATTTTATACATGCATTCTGTGTTCTGTTGGACTGCAATGTAGCATAAACTGCAACTGAACGTCTCTTGTGCCATGTAGCTCAGCAACATCTCTATCAGTGTTTGTGTGCGCCGCCGAAACCTGTGCTGTAAGAACACGAGCTTCGCCAAAACGTGTTTGGTGCTTTGAGTGAGTTCAGGTTTACTCACCAGGCCTTGTGTTGAGTTCCAGATGTGCAACATTCAGTTTATAAAAACTATCCAAAAAAGTATTTTATTCTGTTTCTTTTACATTCATTTTCCCTCAAGTATTGTATTGAAATGTATGATGTAAGATGTTTATTTATAGGTTGTTTTTCAGCTGATTTACTGTTGTTGTCGGATTAAAAGGAAGCGATTGGATGGAGCTCGTGTGGAAGAGTGGGGCGGTCTGTCATCAGACAAAAAAAAGTCATTAGTCATATTAGTCATTGTCAATATTGTCAACAAAATCAAATAAACATTTTAGAAATCCTTATTTCTCACTCTTAGATATTGGCTGTGATCATTTTAAATTAGTGTCGTTGTTTGAGAATTGTACATGTTATTTGTGAAGCTCTGAAGCGCTTTAGGAAATATTTTGACGTGAATGTGTGATGTCTGAGCTTTGAGTGTTTACCATCTTTACACAAAGGGAAATAATGAGTCCCTCTCGCGCAGTGTGTCACGCGTTCATAATGAGGACCGCAGGGAACCAACTGACGTGACAATCGAGATACAACCTCCTAAAGTATTCACAATCCATTCAAATCAGTTATTTGCACAATACATATCGTTTCAAAGCAGCTGTACAGACAATGTCCATATCAGAAATGTACAGGTCTAAGATTATACGAATCATGCTTACATCATCTATTCATTTTAGCTTCACGTTTTCTTTTTTCCATTTTCTTACAGCCCCCCATTTGACTGCATATGGAATAATCAAATGTTTGTGGTCTTTAAGATTATTGAATGTTTTTAATGTTGAATGTTCAGCATCATTCCTGCAGTAAATCACGTGATGCTCATTTTGTTCTAATTATTATCAATGTTAAAAATAGTTGTGCTGCTTCATGTTTCTGTGGAAAAAAATGGATTCTTTGATGAATGGAAAGTTAAAAGGAACAGCATTTATTTGATATATATATATTTATATAAATATACCGTGCAAACATCTTCACTGTCACTTTTGATCAATTTAAGTGCATCCTTGCCGAATAAATGTATTTTATTTCTTTAAAAGAAAAATCAGACCGAGCCCAAACTGTTGAACAGTAGTGTGTTAAACAAATCTCAGTGCAGAGGTAATGGTGAAAACCTTTAATCATTTTTATTTATTTTGAACAACTTTTCATTTATAAACGGTCAGTGTAAAGGTGTAATTGCATGTGTTGTTGTTGAGGACGGACTGAAGCTCCGGCCGGATCAGCGAGCGCACGGCTTCTGTTGATGATGCAAGAGCAGTCTGACATCTGTCTCATATCCCTGAAGATCACACTCCTCTCCGGTGTGTTTCAGTCTGCCTCCCCCTGACACTTACACACCCTTCCTCACATGCTCAAGTGTGTGTGTACGGATAATTACACACACACTCATGAGGCTGGAGAACAATAACACAACAGATGAAAGGCAGTTTAGCAGTTCTGCCTCTCTTGTTTAAATAGTACACTGAAATGTTTAAGAATACAATCCTTGTGAGAGATTTTTATGCACAGATGCATAATTCAGTTTACTTTGTAAGCTTAAGGTTTTTTTCTTAGTCTACATTCATTTTAAAGGTAAAACCATTGATGGAAGTTCATGTTTAAAGGGATAGTTCACCCAAAAAGGAAAAATTCCCCATGATTTACTCACCCTCAAGTCATCCTAGGTGTACATGACTTTCTTCTTTCAGACGAATACAATCAGAGTTATATTGAAAAATCCAGCAAAATTCCAAGCTTTATAAGGGCAGTGGTTTGCAAACATCAGATTGAAGCTCATAAAAGTGCATCTATCCATGAGAAAAGTGCGTCTATCTATGAGAAAATAAAAGTGCATCTATCCATGATAAAAGTGCATCTATCCATGATAAAAGTGCATCTATCCATCATAAAAGTGCATCTATCCATCATAAAAGTGCACCTATCCATGATAAAAGTGCATCTATCCATCATAAAAGTGCATCTATCCATGATAAAAGTGCATCTATCCATGATAAAAGTGCATCTATCCATGATAAAAGTGCATCTATCCATGATACAAGTGCATCTATCCATCATAAAAGTGCATCTATCCATGATAAAAGTGCATCTATCCATCATAAAAGTGCATCTATCCATCATAAAAGTGCATCTATCCATCATAAAAGTGCGTCTATCCATGATAAAAGTGCATCTGTCCATGATAAAAGTGCATCTGTCCATGATAAAAGTGCATCTGTCCATGATAAAAGTGCATCTATCCATCATAAAAGTGCATTTATCCATGATAAAAGTGCATCTATCCATCATAAAAGTGCATCTGTCCATCATAAAACAGCATCTATCCATCATAAAAGTGCATCTATCCATCATAAAACAGCATCTATCCATGATAAAAGTGCATCTATCATGATAAAAGTGCATCTATCCATGATAAAAGTGCGTCTATCCATGATAAAAGTGCATCTATCCATGATAAAAGTGCATCTATCATGATAAAAGTGCATCTATCCAGTCCATGATAAAAGTGCAGCTATCCATGATAAAAGTGCATCTGTCCATCATAAAAGTGCATCTATCCATCATAAAAGTGCATCTATCCATCATAAAAGTGCGTCTATCCATGATAAAAGTGCATCTGTCCATGATAAAAGTGCATCTGTCCATGATAAAAGTGCATCTGTCCATGATAAAAGTGCATCTATCCATCGTAAAAGTGCATCTATCCATGATAAAAGTGCATCTATCCATGATAAAAGTGCATCTATCCATCATAAAAGTGCATCTATCCATGATAAAAGTGCATCTATCATGATAAAAGTGCATCTATCCATGATAAAAGTGCGTCTATCCATGATAAAAGTGCATCTATCCATGATAAAAGTGCATCTATCATGATAAAAGTGCATCTATCCATGATAAAAGTGCGTCTATCCATGATAAAAGTGCATCTATCCATGATAAAAGTGCATCTATCCATGATAAAAGTGCGTCTATCCATCATAAAAGTGCATCTATCCATGATAAAAGTGCATCTATCCATCATAAAAGTGCATCTATCCATCATAAAAGTGCATCTATCCATCATAAAAGTGCATCTATCCATGATAAAAGTGCATTTATCCATCATAAAAGTGCATCTATCCATGATAAAAGTGCATCTATCCATCATAAAAGTGCATCTATCCATCATAAAAGTGCATCTGTCCATGATAAAAGTGCATCTGTCCATCATAAAAGTGCATCTATCCATCATAAAAGTGCATCTATCCATGATAAAAGTGCATCTATCCATGATTAAAGTGCATCTATCCATGATTAAAGTGCATCTATCCATAATAAAAGTGCATCTATCCATGATAAAAGTGTATCTATCCATGATAAAAGTGCATCTATCCATCATAAAAGGGCATCTATCCATCATAAAAGTGCATCTATCCATGATAAAAGTGCATCTATCCATGATAAAAGTGCATCTATCCATCATAAAACTGCGTCTATCCATGATAAAAGTGCATCTATCCATGATAAAAGTGCATCTATCCATCATAAAAGTGCATCTATCATGATAAGTGCATCTATCCATCATAAAAGTGCATCTATCCATCATAAAAGTGCATCTATCCATGATAAAAGTGCATCTATCCATGATAAAAGTGCATCTATCTATCATAAAAGTGCATCTATCCATCATAAAAGTGCATCTATCCATGATAAAAGTGCATCTATCCATGATAAAAGTGCATCTATCTATCATAAAAGTGCATCTATCCATGATAAAAGTGCATCTATCCATCATAAAAGTGCATCTATCCATGATAAAAGTGCATCTATCCATGATAAAAGTGCATCTATCTATCATAAAAGTGCATCTATCCATGATAAAAGTGCATCTATCCATGATAAAAGTGCATCTATCCATCATAAAAGTGCATCTATCCATCATAAAAGTGCATCTATCCATGATAAAAGTGCATCTATCCATGATAAAAGTGCATCTATCCATGATAAAAGTGCATCTATCCATGATAAAAGTGCATCTATCCATGATAAAAGTGCATCTATCCATCATAAAAGTGTATCTATCCATGATAAAAGGGCATCTATCCATGATAAAAGTGCATCTATCCATGATAAAAGTGTATCTATCCATCATAAAAGTGCATCTGTCCATCATAAAACTGCGTCTATCCATGATAAAAGTGCATCTATCCATGATAAAAGTGCATCTATCATCATAAAAGTGCATCTATCATCATAAAAGTGCATCTATCCATCATAAAACTGCGTCTATCCATGATAAAAGTGCATCTATCCATGATAAAAGTGCATCTATCCATCATAAAAGTGCATCTATCATGATAAGTGCATCTATCCATCATAAAAGTGCATCTATCCATCATAAAAGTGCATCTATCCATGATAAAA